GCTGAAGAGCGTCAAGCATCGCACGATATGCCTGTCCATATGATTGAGAGTTTACAGCTGAAGAAGAGGCGATCAACCACAAAGTCATGTGTCGAGATGTGGGAGGGTAATTGAAGCAAACATACTACTAGTATGTTCGCTGTTCGTCGCGTGCGTCGTCGTGATGTGCCTATCCGGCAGGCGGCGTGCTAGAAGAACTAAATCCTTGTAAACATTTCGTCATACTCCGTCACATTCCGGTACAAATACCACAGCATTTCTGTCATGGAAGCTTCGCGGCGTTTGTCGCGATTGGTGAGGCACCTGTCATCGAACTGCAGGTCATCAACAAGGACTTCCGATTCTACTTCCCTATCAATTGCTTTTTTCACGAGCTTACGGGAACAATTTCCGCCTACATATAGCCAGACTGAGCACATATATCGACTGCGTAGCATCTTGGTGCCCTTTTTGAACCATGTAGAAAGTGAGACACATCTCCAGTCTTGGCCACCGCAAGAAATGCAGATCCTGTTATCTGTTCTTCGTCAAACTCTTGACACATCCACCAGTCATGATACTGTCAGCGTTTCACAGGCCACGCTTGAAATATTTTCGAACTGCTCTGAAATATTGTTGCGATGGGCTGCTGTAAGCATAGGTCAAAGCTCATTTTTGACGAGAGACGTGGTGCACTGCGCCGCCGACTTGGTAAGCGAGGCGGCATTCCAAGCTTTGGAAACGTGGCTGGCCCGCAGAGGTGATCTTAAAGGCCAAATTTCCATACAAGCAAAAGGGAATGATGTGCAGGCTGCAGGTCTGCTAGTGAGGGCGTTGCACCTTTGGGTTTTCGCAGGACGGCTTGCCGCGTGTCCTTTGGCGGAAGTAGTAGACCGCGTGAGCCGACTTTTCGAATGCCCGGGCTCTACGACAAGTTTGCTTGAAAATTTTGGACCTTCTGTTTGGGAAAATATTTCGAAGGCACTAATACTAGAACTGGCGGAGGCAGAAGCGGTTGTCCTCACGGCCATGGACGTCGAATACCGTCTGGTCCGAGTGTGTCTTCGGGCAGTGGCGAAGAGCCCGCATCTATGGGTGTGGGCCATTTGGGCTAAAGTATTGGCTGAGCTCCCTGAAGATAACGAGGAACTCGTGGATGGCGTCCTCTGGCCAGCTGATTCGGCGGGCTGGAGGCGCGAGTCTGCTACTCAAGCGGTCCTGGAGGCTTCGGACGTGTGGTTAGAGGAAGTAGCCGCTGGTGTCGGGGCCGTAGCACTTTTGTCCGGTCGATTTGAGGACCACCGTTTATGGAAAAAGTTTCTGGGTTTGTTGAATGATGTGGTTGGGCAAAAGAGGCGGTTGGACCGAGACCTGAAAAATATGGCCAACCCGGAAGAGGCATGGCGCACGGCGAGCGTGGGCACCTCCCTTTCGTTGATACATCTTGGAAACTCGCCATTCTGCTCGCGCTCTTCCGACAGCGAGTCAAATGTGTGGGCAAAAGAGTGGGGGCTGTGTCTTAAGGCCTTATTATCGCTATGCCTCGAGGAGACGACAGCAGCAGGGGATTTGGCAGATTTTTGCGGCGTAAATGATGGCCACGAGGACTATTCGCAGCGACCAAAGGTAACCGCACTTGCGACAATACTGTGTCCTGAATCTTTGGGTCCAACTGAGAACGAGATATGCAAGGCTATCACGGCGCTCTTTAAGGCCTCCGACGCACAAAGTCAAACGGAGGCATTCTCATTCATGCGCGCCCGGACGCGCGAATTGGTACTGTCGAGCAGCGGTGTCTCTTGGGAGCTGCTTCTTGTGTTGCGAATTTGCGCACTATTATGTGACCCGGGATCTGCGGCAATTAACTCATCAGAGCAAGCGATGTATGTCTTGGAGCTGCTTCAAACCTCGGCTGCGCTGGCGATGACAGGACCCGCCTCATCGCGACCGTCATCGTTACCGCTCTCGTCTGCGCAGGAACGTCTTAGTTCTTCGCTGCATGCTACGCTTTTCCAAGCATCATATAGTTTGCAGACGGTTTTGGAGAACGATGTTGAAGATGCATGGCTCAGAGAAGCTCGCGATTGGATTATGACTGCCCTAAGGAAGCGGAAAACATTTTCCGAGCGAACGCTTGGGGACTTGGCAATTCTGGACTTGAATACAAGCGAAACAGACAGTATTCCCGCTGAATATTCAACTGCTTCCGCTATATCATCCCTCGAAGGAGATCGAGAAGGGTTTGCAAGGAAACAAGAAGAACAAGGAATTCAGCAGCAGCAAGAACTATGCGAGGAAAAGCGAGAGGCCTTTCTGACTCATTTGGCTTTCACCATGCTCATCAAGACCCGACGACCAGCTTCCCACAAGTGTGTGGCGGAGCTGACGCGGTTCTTGTTACAAAATGTGATTAGCCCTGATTTCCCTTCTGGAAATATAGCTCAAAATCAGGTTCATGCTTGCCTGCGCGAACTTATCTCCAATCCCACTTTCTTGGCTTATCGGGCGGGTCGCATGGAACACTGGGACGAGGCGCGCAGGCGTGTAGTGGTAGCTTATGTCTGTGCTACCCTTGAGGCATATCCAAAGACTGTAAAATTTAAGGACCTGACCTATTGTGTCGGAGCCTGTATTGGTGCGACTCCAACTGAGGCAGATCCCGCCGGACAGGCCCTTGTTCTCTACTACACCTATCTCATGCAAAAGCGGGCGCTCGCTTTGTGGAAATCAAGGGCAGTGGACGAAGAAGGCACGAGCGTAATGGATATCGCAACCCGAAACCTAATAAGTCTACTCTTTCAATCCCTTTTAATATGCCCTTTGACGGTTTTTGAAACCATACTTCGAGACGTGGCCGAAAGCTTCGTACTCAAAGGTTTAATAGGCGCGCCTGAGAAACGAGTGGCGGTGTTGGAACTGCTGAAACGCATTGTATTCGGTGAGGTCGAACCTGTGAGACAAAATATCATAGCGAAATGGTACTTAGCTCTTTTGCGAGATGAGGAGGATCTGCGGTTCCGAGAAACCACATATCGATCAGAGAACGCAAAAGAAAATGGTCCGGAAGGCGCATCGAACCTACCACTGGATGGAGCGGTGCGATTTTGTGAGTCTATCCAATTTGGGGAAGAAAAATTGGATGAGGGGCACATGTTATAATATGTGCACACGCACTCTTATAGTTGCGTACTTAATTATGTCGATGTACAAAACCACACGTGTTTGCATGACGCATTTTTTTTTCATTGATGGACTTTTCAGGAGGGAATGGGTTGCTTTATGCATTGACGCAAAAACATTCTCACTGCCTCAAAATTACTCAATCCAATGCGTCGATGAAATAAAAAGGCAGCGCAACGAGCAACATTTCGCTCCAAATTTGTATTGGAAAAGTCGCCCTCATCATGGGCCGTTTCGAAAAACCGTTACCTAATAGGTGCCACTTTAAATTTTGAATTTTCTATTTTCTGGTGAGGAGGCCTTTGTATTAGTCTTCCATTACTTGAGGTCGTGCAATTCATATCTGAGTCCTAAATAAGGTTTGATAGAGTATAAACCTTCGTATTGTTTGAAAGAGACCACGGGGTGTGTGAACAGTAGCACGAATGTAGCTGCTGAACGTTAATGTTTCGGTTACACAACCATGAGAGAAGTATTTCTGGATTTGGAGGGCCCGATCTTTGTTCCATGCATTCTGATGCATAATTGGTAGTTGAGTATGCGCAGACCCTTAAAATCCTATAATTGAATAAAGCATAGCAAGGCAGCGCTAGGGTTTGGGTCGAATGAGAAAAGTTCTTACTCATAACTTGTATCTCGTTAGTAGTTAGTCCCTCGAAAGGAAGCTTTGACTTCGAACATGATTCTCCAAGGGCAAGTACTGATCCTCCTTACCACTTATCTCTTTCCAAACTAATCAAAAAGATTATCTTTGTCGGCAGGTTCATAAGGTAACGCATTCTGCAACCCTCACGGGAAGCGTAAAATGGCTACACAGCATTTAGCGTCAGCATCCGGCGAATTGGAAGGGCTTGTGCAGAGCACGGTAAACCTTTTTGGCGGGGTGGCAGACAAGTTATGGCCGGCCAAAAGTAGGAACCAAGAAAAGCAAGCAGAAATTGGAAAAGTTGGAGCTTTGAATAGTGAAGCGTTTGATTCCAATTTTAAAAAAGATATCAAGACATTCGAAGATCTTGATTTGCTGGTAAGCTGCACAATGAGGGCTTGTCGCCGTTGCTTATATGCTCGAGTCATTTAAATATATAGATCATGCATGGTTTCTTCACGTAGTATACAACATTTCTTCATATATTGCAGGAGAGTGGCCATGCTCGTGAATACATAACAGAAGAATGCCTGCTTCCTTGTCCAACAGTGAAAAAATGGTCGACTTGCAACGTTATCAAGAACGGAAAATCGACTTTTCGCATGTACCTGGATGAGGCTCAACCCAGATTCGTCCTCAGCGCCAAGCGTGTAGGGGACTCTTTTTTCATATCACAGTATGAATCATTTCCTGAAAGTATCAACGGCGTGCCGGAGGTTTCTTCCTGTGCCGTCCTCCGGACGTGCTCGGAAGGATATTTCAAGCTTTTTCTCAACGGGTGCGAAGCGTGCGATAAGAAGGCAGACAAATATACGTGTGGTTCTGGCCATAGCTTTGACAATCGACAGCTTTTGGCAGAGATCAATCATGTACGTACCAAAAAACAATGCAAATGTAAGACGAAGGATGCTGGACATATATCCAGTAATATCATCAATTCAGAGGATGCGCTCAATTTGTGTCACCATCTATTAGTAAGGCTCGGTTCGCCTTACATCTACTGACTTTTCTGAAATTTGTTCCTTTTCGCCTGCATGCATATACAGTCTGTCAAAAGGGTAAAAGAGGCAAATGCAGATATGCGTTGTTTGTCAGTCAAATTACCCGAGGTGCACGAGGACCAGCAGACGAGGGATGTGTGGTGGTAAGTAATTTATGCGAAGAAGTTGAATCATCCAGTAGAAATGTGAGCGCCAAATATCATACAGGCTGGTATAATGTCGAGAATTCGTAGTACTCTTTGCAAATGGCTGCTTCCAATGAGGTCTTGGGCCTGGATTGCTCCTCTTCAGAGCTTACATATCTCCTAACTGTTGTCCTTTATCAAAACACACCATTACATCAGCCCGCGTATGGAGCAAGCACGTAGATCCAATAATGCAGAACTGAAAACAAGACATTTCCGTTTGCACAACAAGCTGCCTGAGTGGAACGAAGCTCTTCAAAGCTTGGTACTGCGCTTCAATAAAGGTCGCGTGCTGGCGCCATCAGCAAAGAATTTTTTGATCTGTTTAGACGGTCAGGATAATGGAGAGGGCGTGCTCCAGTTTGGCAAAACACGGAAAAGGCGTTATGCCTTAGATTTTCGCCATCCCGTCAGTCCCCTTCAAGCTTTCGGTATATGTCTATCGTTTTTTAATTGGAACGTATAGATAAGGGATTCCTGCATATGTAGTGTATTTACATCCTACGTAAAGTAGAATCGCTGAGAAGCACAAATCTACTAGGCCGTTGACATGCACATTGAAAGAAACAAACAATGTACGAAGACTCACGTAAAAATCACGGACGGAAGGCAAAGTTTCTGCTTTCTGCTTGACGCACAGTGTAGGCGGGCGCCAGACTCGGGGAGTCCTGAGAACTCGGGTACCTTCGCGCCAAATTTGCCAGCGAGCCACACACGGATCGAGTGCGGCTTTCTCCCGCCCAATAATATCGTATTACTGGGTCGGATGCCTTCACCGTCTTTGTCAGAGTGCTCAAAACTCTCGCGAGGACTACTGTACATCGTCGACAGCTCACCCTGCCATATTGCATACGTTTGGCGGGCGACTTATCTGGATATGCGGCGCCCCTTTGATTGGCAATAGTTGCTGGTCACACACCGAGAGTTGCTTGGTGGTGCGGAGACCCCGAGGGACGTTGTGTTGTTTCGCTTTTTAGTGCATGTCTAGCAAGTTTATCAGCATCCAATACATTCATATCCACGCCCTACTTCTCTTTTTCCTTATTGACAACAGGTGCGCATACCCAAGCGTTTCTTTTTGCTTATCTCTCCTCCAAAACTGCAGCACTACTAGCAGACGAAGCATGCAGTCGCGGTCCCTGCTCACAACTTTCGCAAAGCAGGAAAGTTGAGTGATATAATGTTGTGTCATTCGTATTAAAAAGTTCTTATTGACGTCTGTGACGAATTGAAGTAAAGCTCTCGAGCACAGTCTCGACAAGGAGGATCCCATGGCGAACATGATCTGCTTGGCTTTCGTGTAAGCTCGCCACCCAATTTTTGATCGAGCAGCTCGCATATTATTTTTGAGAAAATAAGGCGATAATAGAAGTAATTGATCAAAAGTGAGTCTATTGAGGAGGAACTCGCAAGATGTTGGTTGCGCGACCTGTCTCGACGACTCCACGCATGGGCCGTCAATTGCAACGGTACAATGGCAACGTCCGCCTCATCACTGGGTGAGTGAAAAAGCTTGATACGCACAAGTATCCTTTTTTTCCGGGGAGGCATTACAGGAGTTGGTGCATGTTGCCAGAGCTTGATTCAGAGTCAAGCGTTTGCTATTTTGAGGGCTCTTCTACAGCGACACTGTGATGCGACTTTACAACCCCCTTCACTGACATAACTTTTCACTTACCCGCCTTCTTCACAATTAAATTTGGACATCTAGATGCATTCCGCTGACTTCAGACGGGAACGTGGTCCTAATCAGCTCCAGAACGGGAGACTGGATCCTCCCCAAGGGGGGTTGGGAGAGGGACGAGACTGCCCGGGAGGCAGCTGCACGAGAAACGTACGAAGAGGGAGGCGTACATGGCCTGGTTCACGCTGAGCCTTTCTCAGAGACAAGCTACAGGAACAAGCGTGGCGAGGAATGCCACTTGCTGCTCTTTGTGATGGAGGTCTCAGAGCTGCTTCCGCAGTGGCCGGAATCATCTGTGCGGCGACGTCGGCTATGCTCCCTCAGCGAAGCAATCGACATATGTGGAAAAGAAGAACACCGCGCTGCACTGCTAAGTATCAAGCTGCAAGGTTTGAACACATTGTTCACCGGCGAAGAAAGCCAGGAGGAAGACTCGCGACGTGAAGGACATCTTGAATTGCATGGTGCAGGCAGCCACCACCCGAATGGGTCCGATTCTATACCCGACCAGCCTTTATTTTCGAGTGAGGCAAGCGATGGTTGTGACAGTGCCGAATTTCCAGGGCTAATTTTATCTACGCGGAGGCCTGGTCTCGAACGTGGCAAAACAGATCGAGATGTTGAGCTAATCGGGAAGGTTGAGTCATAGGAAGGGTCCGAGTAGGCCTTGATTATCGATGTATGAGACCTCTGGACTAGGAGCTGAGCATATTAGCACGCTAACTACTAAAGGTGCGGGGGTAGACTGAGAGCAAGTTGACGGATGTGCTGAACTGAAAATTGATTGAAAACAAAACCTACGATACCTTTTCTTATAATAGATCAGATTTCAAGGCGAATGATGTGGCTTAAACTTCAAATCTTTACCTGAGATATTTTTAATTTTATCACGTCAGTGTCATGTAACTATGATGATGACCCGTAATGTCAATTTGCAAGACGTCACATCACGCAAGCAAATATGCATGCTGCTTGAGGACCGTTTGAAAATCCAATTGTCTCTCTGCCTCCCGACTAAGCAAGACAAGCTTTTTCTAAATTTTAGCTCCATCCCAACTTGCGCGTCGCCTCGCGTCCCGCTCACATAAACCCGCGGCCTTCCCTTTCCCCAGCTCCTATCTCGCATTGCCGTACCTTAACCTCAGAGACGGGTATTGTAGAAAGAGAATGTTTTTGTCTCAAGCGATGATGTAATAGTCATTTAGTATTGTAATTCCGTGCGGACGAATGTTGAATTGAAGGAGTCGGGCCTGAAAAAGGAGAGGAATAGGTAAAGCAGCCCTCCTCGGGGTTTCTCCATCTCGTACTAGCCTGAGGCATTGAGGGACAGGTGTAGGAGCCCCACACGCACATCTAAACTTGAACGAAAAATTGTGCACGAGTCGAGCTCTAGCAAGCGAAGGATATGAGAAAAACTGGATGTTACGTCACTCTTGGCTGGACAAGAGGTATTTCTTTGCAGAAAATAGTGAAGAGCAACCACAAAAGTGGAAGCAGGCAGGAGGCAGCAGTACACCAACGTAAAGGTCTCGATGCATGGGACAAGCAGATAATTTTGTTGCTGTAGAAGACGGTATGATGTTGCCCTGTATGCTTTTGGGGTATTTTCGCTCTGCTGTACTGCAGCAACGCTATGCTTTTTAGATGCTGGATTATACGGCAAGTATTCGCCATTCAACGACGTGCTTCAGCTCTAAAAGCCCATCACTTACACAGAGAATGTCTTCGTCCAGTAAAAGACCACGCGATTATGACGAAGAACGCGAAGATGAAGAGTACGACGATGAAGAGGAGCTGAGCAGTGACGAGGAGCCTCAGCATTTGCCCAGAAAGGACCTAGAGAAGCCTGTCCCGCCCTCAATCTCGGAAGCAGGACATGAAAGTACGGGTGACCCTGGTCGACAGCAGTCCCTGACTACAGGATCAAATTGCAAACTTAGATATTCACTGGTTTGCTCGAGTAATATGAACCGCTCCATGGAGGCGCACGCGGCTTTCCTCAATGCCGGTTTCACGAAAGTAGCCAGCTTGGGCACTGGGAGGATGGTGCGTTTGCCGGCAGCCACGATCGAAGGCCAAATATCGTTTGATTTTGGAACGCCATATACAGACATTTTAAAAGAGCTTGAAAGCCAATCAGAGACAGACGTCAGGTTGCAAGACTTTTATCGGCGGACAAAACTGCTGGACATCTTGCGTCGGAATGCGCGAATCAAGACTGCACCCGAGCGGCTTCAGGAGATTCAAGAATTAGCGTACGATGTCATCCTATGCTTTGACCTGAGAGTATACGATGCCGTCCAAGAGGATCTGCAGGTACGTTTTCCTTAAGGGTCCATGCTAGTCAAGCAACTTGCAGGCCTAGCTCACTTCGTCACTATTTCTGGGAGGGAAGAGTCGCGAAGCCAAAGACCTGGAGCCTATTTGCGTCATCTGCATCGATACGAAGGATGATCCGCAGCAAGCTGTCCTTGCGGGCCGCGTGGCCGTAAGCCTTGCACAACTGGTGAGAGTACGACGATGTCGCCCCGAAACCGACTATCTGCTGGCTTTTATGACTTGCCTTAGCGGTTGTAATAATTCCCGCCATCATACCCGACCACCGGTACTATTCACTACTTTCCATTTCATCCAATTTGCACAGCTGGAGGAGAGCGTCGACCTGGCTACCGAGGCTCCTGAGATTGTCGAGGCATTCATGGCTAAAGAGGGCCGGCGTCTGCTTTTTCAAATTTGTTATCTATAGACCGACGGAAAAGAAATATAAATTAGGAAGAGGTACAACAAGAAGGGCTCTTTCCAAGTCTCTTTCCTGCAGAATCATTCAATTATCTTGTGGTATATCCATCCCTCGGGTGAAAGCAACACGCGTTCCAGATTCCACCCCTGCCGTCGAAGTCCTTGCACCATGTTTGGGAAGCACTGACACAATTCCTGATATGTGGAAGAGATCACACTTGAGATTATCTCTATATTCTCTGTCCCTTTTTTCCTTTTCACGGCCTCAAAGCCTCTCCGCGCGATGAGATCGGCATGGAGACACGCTTTCAGCAGAGTCAAATTTGTTGCATCCTCTCGTAAAGCCACCGCAATCTGGATCTTCCTTGTAACTTTTCTTGTCGGCAGTTCACCGTCAAAGACGTTGACCATGTTCAACATATATTGCTCTTGGGAAAACAGGCGTTGCAACTCCGTAAGCCCCTCGGCGAACCTTGTGAGGTCCTTCACACGTACCCCCAAACGTATGTTCCAGATAGGCGCATGAGCATCCTTTGCCAATTCTGCTGTCGCCCTCCTCTTTCCCTTTTGAAATAAGGCGGTCCACAACTTTGGGGGCCGCCAACGCCCCACGTCCACGATGATTGTCTCCCGGCGAGCTACCTCGGCTGGTGATAAGACGCTGGCGTTTTCTCGAAATGCCGTCAACAGCACGTTAAGACGGCGACGGTTGATGGACGTGAAGGCTAACACGCGCATGGCCGCGTAATTAGCTGTGAGGTGAATGACAGTTAGCAGTGTGTATGCCGTCCACACTCGGCGAGGGGATTGGTTGGCTACGCGGGCGAACCACATCCCGAATCCGAGTCCGAAAAGGCTCACAGCTGTATGCTGAGCCCCACCTTTGGCTAGTACCTCGGCGAGATTGTTGGTTCTAGCCATGTGCTCGACTATGTTGCCATTCGAGGCCCCAGCAGCGATTCCACAGAGACTTTTGCAAACCGAGGCGAGACATATGCATAGCAAAAAGTTTTTGGGGAAAAGTGGGGCTAACATATCTAGTGTAATACCAATATCAACCATGAAATCGGCGAAGAGACGCCAGCTTTTGGCATTGACACCAAAATTGGTGCTCAAGAAGGATGTAAACACGAGTCCACTCATCATAGACGCTCCGTCCCGTGTGATCCATTGGAGTGTCGCTGCCAAGGGTGTAGCCCCTTCCCGCCCTACGCCTACACCTTCTAGTATAGCCTGCGTTGCCAAAATGCCACGCAAGTAAGTGCTTAAATCCTGTACAACATTCCATTGCTGATATCGCAGATATTCCGGAGCCACGCTCGACGGGAACCCAACTGGCAAGAAAACAGTGTGCAATAACGTCTTCAGCCTTCGTTTCGCGTTTCGTACAATAGACCGGACTTCACTCTGCTTTCTGATGACCCACATTATACTAGAGTACCTGTTTGCACGGCTATCATAGTGTGGTGTGGAGACTCGCGACGCATCGGAAGGCCGTGATAGGGTAGGCGAGTGGGGGACAGGAAGAGGAATCAAGCGACCGTTTTGTTCCATGCCATACGAAATAAAAAAATTTCCGTCGTTGCTCCCTGATCGGCTTTCAGAAATCAAGGCAACATCGGCTACATTTACCATGCTCATGCTCGGGTCTCCTTTGTGAGAGGGCAAGTGACTTAAGAAAGCGTCCGTGGTGGCATCCGCCGTCATTACTGCCAAGATGACCGGCAGCAACCATGGGAATGTGAGTCTTTTGTCCATCATTCCTGTTCAATGGATGGGATGCCGGTAGGCGGGCTACCATGAGATGCTAGTGGACTTAGACCTACTTGCGTTTGAGCGAGGGAGGCGAGCGGATGAGCGGGCGATTGCGGGCACGGCAACTCAAGTTGCCGCTGGTGGCGAGGAAGGCCAGGGATAGGCGGGGCAAGCGAGACAGTGGTGTATGAGGAGGAGCACGCGAATGCAAACCGTCCCGTGGGGCGAATAAACAGCACGCAGTGGAAGCATTTGGTTACAATGTCGTCCTTCTATGCACATAGCTCAAGCTCAATGAAGATGAAGAATCAAACATAACAGTATCTATTGACCGGTACTTATGACGATATTATCAATCAATCTATCGGCACAGCACTAGACAATGGCACATGCAAATTCACTGCTCCTGTTTCAGAAGGTAGCATTCTGTCACACGAATTTAGCCTTGCGCAAAATTTTACCATCTTTCGCTGCTTCGAATCGTGCTGGCTCCACCTTTGCGAACATACCCTTAGGACCCCCGGATCCGATTTTTGGTTTGACGGACGCTTTCAATAAAGACACATCCCCCAAGAAAGTGAGTCTTGGGGTCGGGGCCTACCGGGATGACAAGGGGAAACCTCACGTTTTGGAATCTGTGCGTCGTGCTGAGAAAAAGGTATTAGAGGCGAAGATGAACCATGAATATGCAGGCATTCAAGGCGTAGGCGAATACGTGCAGTTAGCGCTCGAATTTGCATACGGCGCAGATTCAACCGCTTTGAAAGAAAAGCGTGTGGCAGGTTCACAAACGATTTCCGGTACGGGGGCATGTCGCTTGGCGGGGGAGTTCTACGCGCGCTTTATGGGCAAAGGCAGCCCACTGTACTTGCCCAGCCCGACATGGGGAAACCATGTTCCTATTTTCAGGGACGCGGGACTCGAGGTAAAGCGCTATCGGTACTTTGATCCTGAGACGAACGGCTTGGACTTCAAGGGCGTCCTGGAGGATGTTAACCAGGCGCCTGAGGGCTCCATCTTCTTGCTCCATGCCTGTGCGCACAACCCTACGGGGGTGGACCCCTCGGAAGAGCAGTGGAGGGAATTGTCCGCACTATTCAAAAGAAAGGGACATGCCATCCTCTTCGATGCAGCGTATTTGGGTTTTGCGTCGGGCAATGTTGAGAAGGACGCGTTTGCTCTGCGGCATTTCGCGATGGAGGGGCACAATTTCTTGATGGCCCAGTCTTTCGCCAAGAACTTCGGTCTGTACGGTGAGCGAGTAGGAACGCTTTCAGCGGTTTGCGCGAGCGCTGAAGAAGCGAAGCGGGTTGAGTCTCAACTGAAAATCCTGATACGGCCCATGTACTCGAACCCGCCTATCTACGGCGCACGTTTGGTTGCGACTATCTTGACGGGTAGGTTCTTTAATGTCAGCACATGCTATAGGAACTCATTTTGCATTCCATTATACTTGTTTTTTAGCACTTATACGCTTGAAATTGGATTGGATAACATTGTGGCAAAAACATCAAAGGCAATAGCAAATTTGTACTCAACCTTCTTTACCGTGTAATGTCCCCTTTTAAATTTGCAGACCCGGAGCTAAAGCCACTTTTTTACAAGGATTGTAAGGCCATGGCGGACCGTATCATAGAGATGCGCTCACTGCTGCGATACTCGATGGAAAAATTAGGTTCTAAGCTTTCATGGCGGCATGTTACTGATCAGATCGGAATGTTCTGCTTTACAGGACTTCGTCCCGCTGAGGTGGCTGAGCTCAAGGAGAAGTATCATATCTACATAACCGACGATGGCCGCATCTCCATCGCAGGCCTCAACACGGCCAATGTGCAATACGTGGCCGCAAGCTTTCACGCCGTGACATCCAAACGCTGAGCCCAACTAATTTACAAAAGGGTTAGGACTGGAAATTCGGGAATATGTCTCTCAAGACTCAGGCACCATCCTCAAAAATACGAGTTAACTCGATAACTGACGTCAAAAGAGGGAGAGTGAAGTCGTCGGCAAATGTCATTCCATACTATTGTCTGGAAATTGAAAAACGACATATATATGGGGCCACCCTTACCTAGGGCATTGTCGCATGTTTGTCATGTTGGGTTCAAGAGAGTCAACGAGCCTGTCCTTGATATCATTGGACGTGTGCAAATAGAACACGCATCAATAAAACTTAAGCCACGAGCATTTTCGCGCGAGCTAAATTGGTTTGTCTTTCTTTATGTCAGGCGCGTCCAATAAAGTAGCTTCTAACCTACGAACGATTTTTTGTCACACTTCATGGTACAATGAGAGTCTGAAGAGATTTTAACCTTCAATACCAGACTGCAGTAGTGTGTGGCATGTGTGGTACCTATCGTCTACATCTTTCAACAGCTGAGGTCCAGATTCACTTATACTTAGGTATGCTGAGCTATGTCATACCTCAATTTCCTCCTACCCCCTGCGTAAACATATGAGTTTTAAGTTAGTCGATGCCAAAAATGGCTCTCTCAGGTGTAGCTTGCTGTGTGAGTTTCTCGAGATACGGGTATCAACTTATCAACATTTGACGCAAGGGTGCGGCAATGGTTTTCTTTCGGATACAACATTTCTTCTTCTTCATGCTCAAATGCCCGAACACGCTAATTTTTCGTGCCTTCTTTTGATGTGTCCAATACACATCGGCTCAGCACGGCGCGGGTGGGGAGGTTGGCGAGGACCAGGTGAGGGAGCGAGGAAGAGGAGGTTGGCTTTCTTTGTGTTGGGAACGGAACAAGTCTAAACTTCACGCTTTGTTGCCGTCACAGGAGGAATGTGGGGGGAAATTCACGGTCCTTATTTTGGGATGTCACTTGTAGCTAAGTCCTCCGAAATGATGCATAATCCCTCCTCTAACTCCCCTTAAATCTCTTCGGCAACAGGCGCCCTCCTTCCCAGGCACTCACCTCTCTCAACATCCTCTCGATCCGATCTACCGGACGCTTGCTGCTACGGGATGTTTTCGAGTCGACAAGTTGTCGGTCATGGCAACGATGGTGGAGTTCCTGTGAGCGCAGGCGAGGCTGGTCGGCTGCTTTCCGGCAGCACGACGCAGACTATTGGTGGCACTTTTAATTCTGAGACACATCTGCAACAGCCGCCTCAAAAACAGCTGCATCACGTAATAAAGGATAGAAATAGTCCTACTTTTTATCAGAAACGCTCTCGTCTCGTGTATCTGCCCCGAGTGGGTCCCCTGGAGCGGACGATGAAGTGGGCACTAACAGGTTTCGCCATTTATCTAGCCTTAACTTTCCTGGGGGTTGTATTCCTCGTGCTAAAGAGCCTGGAATTTGATAAATTGCCTCCTTTTGCTCGCACGGGCTTAATTTTGAAAGGTTACTGGCTGATTTTTACCCCTTTCTGGGCCGCCGACCTCGTGGCTTGGATGGTGGTGCTTTGGGCCTTGCATTGGACTTGCTCGTTGCGCACTAGCGGTGTACAGCATGAAAGTCGAATTATGGCCCCTTCGTCTCATAGAGAAGCTCAGAAGACTTTAAGTACAGAAATGTTGCCCTTGTTCCAGATAGTGATGCGTGCGCTTCTTAATGCAACACCATTCTTACTGTGCATCACCGCGGCGCACATTTTACTCTTCATTTTCCTGCAGAGCGGAGGAGGCAATTTTGGGCGACCATGGGTGTCTTTGTGGTTGGCAATTTTGCCTATTGTCTTGTGGGAAATGCTTGCATTAATAAGCGCGATATGTTTAAGGACGGGATCCTTTTCCAAAGCGTTGGGTTGGCTACTGATACTCTTCGCTACTTTGATGGTCGGCCTGCGCTTTTCTTCGCCGCCCTTCCCCTTATCAAGCATCCCCTGCATACGAGCTGCGCATAATGCACCTCTATGGGTGACATTTACACCGTTTTGGGCGCTGGAAATCCTATTACTCGCCACATTGGTGTACGTGTCCATTCAAGCTTGTTGTGCCCGGCGTTATCGCCTTTCTTCCCAGCATGTATCCTGCATCATTCTATACACCAGCAGTCTTGGATTTTTGGCATTGGCCTCTGTAATGTTTGCCTGGCGACACGGGACCTGGGAATCAGGACTAAATCACGCATTGCGTCTTCAAAACTTCTCCGACACGCTTTCGGGCATTGCCACCTTGTGCGCCGTGGGCTTTGCGGAGCTTGGATTTTATCTTGTAGCAGCCGACGAAGTTGAGCATTTGACTACGAGTCATGGCTACGAGGACCCCATGCCCTTGAGTCGAACAGCTCGCGGATGGGAGCCAACAGGAGCGCGTGTTTCGAACTGGCTGTTGCTGGGTCGCCTAGAGGAGACGGCCCGCCTCATGCGCCGCGGTGGGTTGGCTGGAACGAGTGGTAGCACAACCGCTGCAGCTGGGCGAGGGCTGTCAGGTGTAGGCGTGAATATGACAAGGAATTCACCCCTGCGCGATTACCAAGGATACAGTGGACGGGAGGGTCGTGAGCTGCGGCGAAGTAATTCGGGATCCTACGCTGACCTCTATGACGATTTGTAGCGACAAATACAGATTGGAAGGATATTCCTGGTTTTTATGGGAGGGACGATCCGATGCCTGCTAGTGGACACGGTTGACAAAGCAGGTCTCGGGATATGTTTTGTCGCTCGCAGCAAAAAGTTGAATGGCGGGTGCTGCTTGGAAAAGCACACAGATGAGAGGGAGAGAGCGGTATGTACTCAAATTTTGAGAAACTTTTGTAAAGTAGAAAAGGACACGTCCGAAAAAAATCAGCGAGAGAACGGTAAAAGAAGAGCGCTTTGTTCAGATCATGCTTTTCCCTACTCTGGTGCACACCATCTGCTCGCCAGTATCGAACGAGTCAGTTTCAATTAGTGTTCCGTCTTCAAATCGGCAAAAAGATCCTAGAATGTGACGTCGTTCAAGTTTGAGGCATGATTGTGGGTTACGTGCTCAGGCGTAATTGAGCCTGAATATCTGATTATGAATGTAATACTGGCCAGGTGAAGATGCCACCAATTGGAAAAATTCAGAAAAATGAAGCGGATTCTCCTGTCCGTCCAGCTTAACCTGACCCACAACAGCTATGATCAGATTTGAAGGGTCCAACGACGGCTGTACATCAAACCGCTGCACATTGTGCACCAACTTCCCCAAACCAGCCATCTTCTGCGAGATATTGGTTCCTCCCATGAACTGCTGGCCTTCGAATGTGAGCATAGATGCGTCACGCTGGGGTACGTTGATGTCGAAGGAAAAACGAAGTTATTTCCGGTGACGAAGAAAGTATAAGACCTATTGCGACCCTTGAGCAGCCCTAGCATGATCAACTACTGAACGGTTTGAGTAAGATGAAGAAAGGGCAGACTTCCCACGGATACACAAAAGGGAATCGCCAGCACCTGCATCCAATTCCAAGCCTAGAACTCTGCACCAGTCTTAAAGCGCCTCAGGCGGGAAGGACACGAAAAATTCAAAAAGAGATCTCACACTTGTAAAGATACAAACCTACACCTTAATATATGACGATGTGTATGTCTACTCTCATCCTCATTGACGAAAGCTTTCCATTCTTCCCGGGTGACTTACGTATAATGCTCCTAACCCTGCGATATTGCTGTCCAGCGTGCCGTAGTAGTGCTGTGCAAAGGCCCCCGCAATTTCATCAGCCGACATCGCACAGATTCACACTGTTCCTAGCTTAAATTCGCTTGTACGCACTCAATTTGGTGCTCAAACGCCCCTGTAAAATGTGTAATGGCGGGAGGAAGGATGAAAGACAGCTACGCCGCGCCTTCGAGAAGGAGACCGACGACCAAAAAGCAGTAAGGCATGTAAATATGATATACACAACAAGCGTATATCGTCAAGCTCTTCCTGAAGTCTGCACTAGCCGGGAAGACGTCCTCTGGAGAACATAAGCTCGAGCACAGCAGATCAGGGCAGACAATGCGCACAAGTCGTCGAGAGCGCTCTAAGCGGAGGCTGCGGCGACCGCCCGGACCGCGAGGGCTTGTACGTTCCGTCGAAGTAAAGGTATAAACATGTACTACGTTCCCTGACTGCGATCCTCCCGCACTCTCCTTTCTCAAGACGATCGCGGCGGTTGTATGAGCCTCACTTCGCCCTTATTTCCTCGCTCTCCGCGTTCATGATTGGGCATCTCCGCTTTTCAGCACTTAATTTTATGTCAGAAGGCGCCATATCCGACATTGCACGACGTTGCTGTTCACTGAAAATATAAGCTTTACTCTCATCTCTTTCTGTCATTTATTCACCCTCCCGACAACTATCCTAATAATCGCGAGCATCAAGAGGTAGTTTAAGGTTCTGGGGCCGCTATTTGTTTTATCTGTATTTGCAGTGCATTATACAGTCCAGTTTCCTCAGATAAAAGGTATTTGCACGTTCACGTGAACATTGTGAAAATGGGTGTGCAGCTGAAGTTGCAAAAAGTTAAGCGGTTTATCAAATCTTCTTTGGTTGCCAAACGCCAATAGGAATTCGCCGTGCAATTGGAAACTTTCCTAATTCCTTGAATTTGCGCACAGCCTGGTCGCGATATTATATTATGGAGCCAATGCTTCGATCAAAGAAAATCTTAAGAAATTTCGAGTAGCCATATTTCCAGTGACTTTTTGTTTCCTTCTTCTCTTGTTTAAGACAAATGCTGTCCTGATACGCAAGATCTCATCTCAGTGTACGCACTTGTCGGATGCCACCATCCCTTGAAAGAAAACTTCTGAGCCCACATCCAGATCTCCGTCACAAACCATACACATACATGACAGTAGACTCTCTCGAGGGATGGAGCTGGCGACGACAGGAACAATTCAAAGCCCTCACGCTTCCATGCAAACCCTCCAGCTCATCCAAATGCTCTGAGAAATCTCACACGAAAAACAGTAGTGGCGTGCCGGCTGGGTACATTACCTAAGATCACTTTTATTCTCACCCTTTCGAAGGCTCGCGGAGAATCTTTACTGCTTGACGGCTTCTGCATTGTCGTCTGAGACAAGGGCAGCACCACCTCCCGGCCCACTGGTGTGATTGTGTGTCTTGCGGCGATGTTGACACTGCAAAGTCAATTATAAATAAGATAGCTGCTCCAGACCATCAAGGCAATCCAATCTATTTCCTGAGGGTTCCCATCCAAAGTCCGCCTCCCCCAGCCCTTTGAAGCACTTAATTGTCGGACCATGTATCCTGGTACTCAGAATAGCCAGGAAACGCCTTCAAGAAAGCATCCTGGTCGAGCCCTTCCGGAATATCGCCCAGCATATCCGTGTATTTCACGGGGTCCGTCTCCCAAGTCTTGAACTCCTTCTCCCAGTGGTCGATTTTATCGTCGATGGGCTTCATCGCAGCCTGGAAGTGCTCCTCAATGTCTGAGACCAAAGCGTCGCAGTCCGCATCGAACTTCGCAAGTTGAGCATCCGTCATGAAGAGGTACTTAGTGCCGTCGGGGCCTGTGGCACCGCCCTGGCTAAGTTTCGCAGAAACGCGCTCGAACGCCAGTCCGAGCATGAGCAGCACGTCTTGCGCACCACCATAGTCCGCCTTAATGCCGAGAGGCGAGGCCTTCTCGCCCCCTTCGGAGGCAACCAGCGCTTCCTGAATCACATCCTGAATTTCCTCCGCCGATAGCTTGAAGTCACCAATCTCGTTGAAAGAGTCCTCGACCATCTTATCGTATTCATCTGTGGTCAAATCGAAAAGCGCGTCCAGCTCCCGATCCGTGTAGTCCGAAAACTGCTTGTCAGCAGCCTTCTCGGGGTATCCTCCTTCCTTCAACTTCTTGATGTAGTGCGCGAGCACCTTACGCCCATTTCCAGCTGGTTGCTTGCCCTTGATAGACGCAGCTCCCGCTTCCATGCGAACTAAGGGAGTGGTAAACGACGAATGGCAGTCAAGGAGAAGAAGCATTGAGTTCAACTCAAGAGTGTAAACCGCTCAATCGAGAATTCTGATATCAAAAACCGCCAATTCACGGAAGACCGTAACCCCTGGGCCTCACGCCTCACCCATGCCACTGCATAGCTGCGACTCTTGGAAACTCCGAAGTCTTTGACAAACATAACACGTATCACTACTCCATGACAAATAAAATTTCATGAACGTAGCGAACGCACAATGAATGCAACAATGAAAAATAAACACAGAAATGCTCTTAGGTGGCTACTCACCGATGCGGCGCTGTTGGATGCGTGTGCTGGGCATGAAACCCAACGCGCAACCCAAGAGGGAAGCTCCTACGAGAAAAGCGTAAAACCTCATGTCCTATTTAAGTGGACGAAAGTTGGAAAGGTTCAAAATTAACAAATTAATCCCAGATTTCGCGTGAAGGCGCGCGCGCTCGTGCCTATGTAGTAGGCAAGGACTCCGAAGTCGGTCCCCAGGTGCTGGCGGAAATTTTCGACAGACAATTTCACAACTCCGAGGCTATGGCCTAGAAAAAGATACTTGCCATTCTGGCTGATAATTGATTTTTACGCATTGAAAACAACAACACATGTAGAAGAAATGAAGCAGCAATAAGGATGGAGGACAGAGCAGGCTCGCGACACGACGACTCCCCACCGGGCGCCGTATCTTTTCTGTTCCTCGGAATCGGCGTGCTTCCAACCGATTTCACCTTTTGTGGTTGCGTACAACTCGGCCGGCGAAGGCGATACAGCATCCATTGGGACGTTTACAGATTGCAAGGTATTTAGGAGAACATGGTCGCAATTTTCAGATCCCTCAGGAGATGTTGCAACTACTTAAACTTGTGCTGCTGATTTTGATGAAATGTGTCGAATAAAGAAGAGAGAGACGAAAAATCAAAGAAACCAGAAAATAATGCACGACTTGCTGCCAATTAGCAACGTTTGAATACTTTTAGTGAAGAAGCCTAATCAATTGATGTAAAACGGAAGCGAGATGTAAACATCGAGTTTCACTGGGTTGTCGCATAGAGAAATCCAGCATCATGCGTATACTTTGATATAAGTTTCTTCATCTCTGCAGAGATGGCGACTTTGAAAGACAAAAAGCAGGAACAAGACGGGAATATTAGTTGATTAGGACAAAAATCAGTATTTTACTTTGTTGGTACACTGTGGACGTGGGTAGTGTCCAGCTGAACTTAATTTCTTGAACATCATGGCCATCGAGTCCGAGGATGATTTTTGCGAGCCTCCTCTGACTTGTTCCCATGCTCTTTCTTTTTGCGAAACACAGGCGAAAAGATAACCTCTATACTGTTCACCTGCTATATTTTATCTGTATCTATAGCACATCCCCCATCACTTCGCGTTCACGGTGTACTTTTTTCTTCCCGATAAAGGTTACTATAGATTTTGTTATTTAATCGATTTCGTGTACTCCGGCGATATACAGGCATTATGCGGAGGTCGATGGCACAACTTCATATCGCTGATACATTATAGCAATATTATATTTTAGGTCTACATACAATGTATCTCAACGGCAATTCTTACTGCCCGACGCCCACATCAAAATCGAATCTTGCACTTCAGATATGTCTCCGTTTGTTTCCCAAATGCGTCCGATCTTAATCACTTCGATGTGTCGAAGAAATGTAGCTGGTGTGCCTGAGTCGCATAGTTCATATCTTGACAGCGCTAAGCTGACATCTACTTCGCACTTCAAGCGTTTTACGTTGTCCATCTTGCGGCGACGATACTTTCGGCGCAGCCCGTGCTCTTCGTGCAGGTGCTCGATTCTGAAGCCTCTTGTTGTACCAGGGCTTTCTTGCGTTAGATCACAAACAGCTCTACTTTAATC